TGTTCAACCTACAGGTTAACACCATCCAACGGAACAGCAACGGAGCCACACGATTTTCCTTTAGTAACTTACACAGTAGTTTTGGATCCAGGACAACCGCGAACTGTTTACTACAGAGTTAACGTTACAAACGATATGTTGGAAGAATATAGTGAGCATTTTCTCCTTACTTTGTGGCCAATTGACACAAAAGTTGTCATCGTTGATCCTTCGGTTGCTAACATAACAATTGGTGAAAGTGATGGTAAAGTGAATATTCATGGTTATGTTTCATATTACAATTGATACTACCCTTGGAAAAACATACAGATCTTTGTCTTTCACGCCAATTAAGTGAGAAACAGTTCTAATTCTACATTAGGGAAGGTTCATTATTTGTGAGTTGGAAGGGAGGTAGAGGGGACAACGATTGGAACTATTTTATGCCGTAGTAAAAGGGAAGTTGTATATGTTTATTCCAACTCTTGCCAAGGGGTTTTTATACTTTCTACCACATGTAACTGGAGGTCGTTTCAATAATACAATATAGTTAAACCTTCCCCCTCTTAACCCATGAATTATAAGAACCTTTCCTTAGCCTCGCAGCCATGGCCGCCGCATATGATGAAAATAATAATTTTACAAGTGGAAGTAAATTTCATATATGAACCTTTCATATACATGAAGAATATGTGAAACGCAAACTTCATTTACGAAAATTCGTAATTCCAATTTATAATAGCCAGAACAGCCAACAATTTAATAAATAGAATATAAAATGGACCGAAAAATGAACATCTTGAAAAACACAAATAAGGATTAAAGGCAAGACGGAAATTTTAAATGATTATATTTCGATCTTATTACAGAATCATCGAGAGACCAACTGATTTTGATAATATAGAAATACATGCAACCATTTAAATTCATGTCTTGCTTTTAGTAAATATAGCCTAATTATTGGGTTTTTCAATATGTTTTCATTTTTTTGTTCTTGTGTTAAATTTTATTTCAAATTACAATTTGTTTTCAAATCTGAGTTAATATTTTCATATAATTTAATGCATGTAAAAGAGATTTAATTAATCAGAAATAGATGTGGAAGGAAAATTCCGTCTAGCATAGTGTATGACATTAGTTCAATGTTAAGTTAATAATCCTACGCACTAGTTCAATAATGTCAATGAAAATTCGTTTTACAGTATTTAATGATAATTTTACCACTTTTGTTACTGAGAAAACCTTGGTAGCGTATACATTAACTTAACGTATGCATTAACATTTTTATAACTCTTTCTAATAGATATTTTCTTCTGTGATCCCAATGCAAACCAATATCCTTGTCATATCAAGTCAGATTGTGTTGATGTCCCTGGCTCTTTCCAATGCACCTGCGTTAGTGGCTATGCAGGCGATGAAAAGTCCTGTACCAGTAAGTATACTGTATATAGCAATTCTTGAGCTCTCCGATGGATAGGACAGAACACAGTAAATTAAGTAAAAATGCTGCTCACACTCTTGATGTCAGTTATGATTTTACAGCTAGAGGTTAATCAACCAATTAAACACCATGAATCTTTCAAATAAGAAATAATTAAAAAATATTGAATGGGTTGAGCGTGATATAAAGTACTATCAAGGTCGAAGTTTTTGTTAATACTACGTGTCTTTACGTGGGTAACCTACGCTGGTCTAGGCCTTAGGTTGTATTACAACAGCATGATGTAATTGCATTTAATATCATCTTTTCATATCAACGTTATGACGTTGAAAATTATGTCTGACTCCTGCTTTTAGTTCCTAAAAATAGCTCCTACTCCAACGTCCTAAACACCTACTTATAGTTCCTGAATTGTCCTAAATAGCGCTACCCTACTCTTTGTTCCTAAATTGTCCAAAATAACTCCAACTCCTACTTCCTAAATTGTCCTAAATAGCTCCTACTCCTGGCTCCAAAATTGTCCTAAATAGCTCCTAGTTCCTAAATTGTCCTAAATTGTCAGAAAGTGCGTTCAGGAGTAAGTCCATTGCCATTGGCGAAGTAGTTTTCAAAAACTACGTTGTGTAAGTCGAGAAAATCAAAGTTAAAGTTTATGTAAATCAAGGGAAATCTCTTGTCACATATACAGTATATAGATACGACACGCTTATGATTTTTATTTGTGTTTTCCTCATGAATTATTGAGTTTTTGAAGTATATATGTAGATCACAGGAAGCAGCGCAATAATTTTTCATTTTCTACCTCATGCAGACATCGATGAATGTCTCACTATCGTGTGTCCATTCAACGCCACTTGTGAAGATACCAGGGGCGTAGGAAGCTTAGAAAATTTGGGGGGCCAGGCTTTGAGGGGCACTTTCAAAAAAAAAAGGGCATCTCAAAAAAATTTTTTGGCGACAAAAATTTCGGTCAGTGTACCATTTTAGGGGTAAAAAATTTTTCCGGACATACCATATTTTTCCTTAAATACTAAAATTTTTTTCCGGAAAAACAAATATATGATATTTTTATCGGAAACTAAAACATTTTTCGGGAAAAAACCTACATTACAGTTTTCAAAAGTTTCGTTTGGACAAAAACTGCAATTTTATGAAAATTTTTCAGGCACAAAAAGGGCACTTTGCTCCTGTAAAAAGGGCACTTGCCAAAACTTGGGGGGGCCATGGCTCCCCTGCCCCCCCTCCGGTTCCTACGCCCCTGGAAGATACTCAAGGTTCATACAGATGTATCTGTAAAGATGGTTTCCGTGGAGATGGTGTGAATTGCGTTGATTAGTATTGTATGGTATAAATATTTGATGATAATATATTTTCTAACAACTTTCTAAAAAAAAAGTGAAGCCTTTCAAATTCAAATTAGCTATAACGCATTGTAGTAATTTGACAGCTCTAATTGCTTTGAATTAATGGTTGGGGAATAACACAAGGTCTTGTACACATGGGACAAAACCGAAAGAAATAAAAATTAAAAAATTTCAATTTACGAGGGATTAGAGCTGTCAAATTACTACAATACGTTATAGCTAATTTGAATTTGAAAGGATTCACTTTTTTGAGACATGCTGCATAACATTAATAGCAAACTAATTAATTTCTTAATTTGCATAACACTACGTCTGAACTTGTCCAAGTTCACAGACTTCTGACTGGTAACGCTATTTTCTCCACCTTCGTTATTTGCTTTGCTCAGGCCTGTTTTATACGTCGAATTTTGGTCGCGTCGAATGCAATTAAGACAATAGATAATGAGATGATCAACCTCATTAAGCTTCATTAGAGAGCTAGGTTAAGATACCCCGGTTCCGGTTTACGGGTACGGGTGATATACACATAGATTGTTGAAAACTTTGACAAGCATAAGTGCATTACTTATTTGGGTAAGTTGTTGAAAATGTTTACTATTTAAGCGGCCCACAAATAGTAAATAGAGAACACCCATACTCGTTTGTCTTTTACGTGTAGACCATGGTTTACCGCGGGAAAACGGGTAGAAATTACGGGTAAAAATGCTAACATCAGCAAAAATTGGTAAACAAAATGGCGATACTCGTATCCGCAAAACGGAACCGGAGTATCTTAACCTCTCTATTATCTATTATCCATTGTTTGAAATTGCCTTTTTAGAACCATACAAGGACGTTTTGAAGCTTGGACAACGGTACGATTTAGTCGGCCGATTTTAATCAGTACAATTGTTTCATTAATAACCCAATTATTAAATGATTGGAGCATAAAATATGGTTTGCAAAGCTCATAAACCACAGTGTCACAAGATGAATTTTGATTGTTAATAATAATCGATATAAATGGAACACAACGGAAATATTCAGCCGATAAAAGTCGGGATTAAATATTCTTTTATGTACATTTTAATTATACCGGATTCTTCTTGGCCTTATTCAGGTTCAAAAGTTCTATTCAATTTCGGTCACAAAAACGAGGCTGAGAAGGTATATAAAATAATGTATAAATTTATTATAATAAGGCCATGAAAAAAATATCGCGGTTTATCATCAGAGCCCGCATCCATTTTAGCGCTATTTAGGACAATTTAAGAACTATAAGTAGGTGTTTAGGACGTTGGAGTAGGAGTTATTTTTAGGAACTAAAAGTAGGAGTCATACATAATTTTCAACGTCATAACGTTGATATGAAAAGATGATATTTAATGCAATTACATCATGCTGTTGTAATACAACCTAAGGCCTAGACCAGCGTAGGTTACCCACGTAAGGACACGTAGTATTAACAAAAACTTCGACCTTGATAGTACTTTATATCACGCTCAACCCATTCAATAATTTTTAGTTATTTTTTATTTAAAAGATTCATGGTTTTTAATTGGTTGATTAACCTCTAGCTGTAAAATCATAACTGACATTAAGGGTGTGAGCAGCATTTTTACTTAATTTACTATGTTCTGCCCTATCCATCTGAGAGCTCAAGAATTGCTATATACAGTATACTTACTGGTACAGGACTTTCCATCGCCTGCATAGCCACTAACGCAGGTGCATTGGAAAGAGCCAGGGACATCAACACAGTCTGCCTTGATATGACAAGGATATTGGTTTGCATTGGGATCACAGAAGAAAGTATCTATTAGAAAGGGTTATCAAAAATGTTAATGCATACGCTATACCAAGGTTTTCTCAGTAACAAAAGTGGTAAAATTATCATTAAATACGGTAAAACGAATTTTATATATAATGCCTAGGATTATTAATGCCTAGGATTATTAACTTAACATCGAACTAATGTCATACACTATGCTAGACGGAATTTTCCTTCCACATCTATTTCTGTTTTATTAAATTTTTTTACATGCATTAAATTATATGAAAATATTAACTCAGATTTGAAAACAAATTGTAATTTGAAATAAAAATTTAACAAAAAAACAAAAAATGAAAACATATTGAAAAACCCAATAATTAGGCTGTATGGACTAAAAGCAAGACATGAATTTAATTGGTTGTATTTCGATATCATCAAAATCAGTTGGTCCCATGATAATTCTGTAATAAGATCGAAATATAATCATTTAAAATTTCCGTCTTGCCTTTAATCCTTATTTGTGTTTTTCAAGATGTTCATTTTTCGGTCCATTTTATATTCTATTTATTAATTTGTTGGCTATTCTGGCTATTAGGGACCGGTCAT